ATTTTGGGTAAACTCTGCATGGCTCTTTGCTTATAAATTCCTTTATATTTATAGTTTTTCTTTACAATATAAATTTAGGATTATGGCATATTACTAGACAAATCTATGAACTATTTGCATGAACTCGAGTAACTAAGAACTAAATCTAGCTAGCTAGTCCTAACATTAAACATATCAAATCTATTTTACATAACTTCTCTCGGTTATGAGAATGTGATCCACATAAAAAATTTTGTTCATTAACTATTAAAGGTGATTTAAAACACAGAAATTTGATTTATATTTTCATGTTAATTTCTTTTTATTCATTATGGAATAAATATTTATCTGTGTTTATGGAACTTATTGTAAGAATTGCTTGAAGGCTCAAAATTTTTTTCATTAATCACTTATACCAATTTAATATGGGAAACTATAGAGAAGAGAATTATTTAGGAGTCGAAAAGAATAGATTCCTTTTAACACTTGGCATAATCCTATCAAGAGCATATCTAGAGTTGCTATGCTGCACAAGTAAGGTTTTTGGAATCACTCCAAGAAAATAAAGCCCTCATCAAAATAATATCTTATGAAATAAATCATATGTCAGGACTCGGACGGAGGTTTGATTTAATGAGACGGGAACAAACGGTCGGACATGTAGTTAAATTTATGTTTACTAAATAACTATTTCTAACACATTGAAAGAGCCATTAAAATCTCAAACACATATTAATAAGAATTATTGTAACTATTTCAATAAATAACTTCCTATGGGAGGTCGCGCCTAGGAGACATGTTCTCTCCTCTTCCACTCATTTATAAATTCCTTGGATACCTGTGGATGCTTACAAATATAGGAGCGAGTCATAAAATAACTCAGTGAGTACCATACTTCTAAATTATAGTAATACAAGGCATTTTAATCAGCATCCATGCTTGCTGTAAAATATAAAATAACTTTATTTAATAATATTTAAATTTAGAAATAACTATCAATCATATCTTATGCATATATGTAATACTCATATCCTATTATAACATTTTTGTAACTATGATAATTGTCACAAATAAAACCATCTAAATAACATCAATTAAGGTACCCACTTTTTCATTTTTTTCCCCATAATCCTTTCCAAAATCTTTTCCATTTCACACGCATGAGTACATTGCATCCCTAGTCAATATCATAAGGGGGTGTGCTTCATCAATCAATATGCACATACAAGCATTTATATACAATCATTTCATTTATATATCATTCAAGAACTTTCTATAATACATATGATAAATTATAATGCTGACTATCAAAAACTCGATATGACCATTCATTGAAATAGAAAAGATAAATAACGCTGGAATTCTACAAATAATCACTAACTAATAAGTATCAATTGATTCAATGCAATTAGATTAGAGAAAGAAAAATTATTACTTTAAAAATAGGAACATAGGTACTCACCCCATAACCAAATGCCTTGACAATTCACTTTAATCACTACTTTATCTGATGTGATACATGCTTGGAGTTACACAAGATTATCAAGAGAATTTAATAGAAGTTTAACCTTTATAAAATGATGCGTCAATTCAAAGTAGGTACAAGAATTCTCAGTCTTCCACTTGCTTAGGCAAAGAATTGCATGAAGATTAACCAAGAAACTTTCAATCAAATACAAGGTGAAGTAATGTAAAAGCTTGTAACATAAATCCAAAAGTTAATAATGAGGTGTTCACCTTTGAGGATCTACTCTCTTCCCTACGAATCTAGGTTGAGCGGAGAAAGATCTTCCACACTAGAAATGAATTAACCACTAGGACAGACGAGCCGAGGAACGTCGTTGTTGGGAAGGTAGCCAGAGTGGTGGAAGAAGATGGTCGTCCAATGATGATCCAACATCCCTTTGACCTTTGCTCGTCGATCACGTCAACTAAGGTGTATTGGATACGGTCGATGTATTATTCAACGGTGTAGTCGAAAACAAATCCCACGTCAAAGAATGGCGATTGGAGGATGTCGACTTGATCTCGATCATCATGCACAAATCCAAAGTTCCATTCAGGTTCCGCCATGCATGGTTTGCATGAGATGAGAGAGCATGATAAGAAAACCCAAGAGAGGAGAGGTGGTGGCCGGCTTGGAGAGGTGGAGGGGAGAGGCTAGGTTTCTTGGTGGAAACTAGGTTAGGTTGGGGTGGAGGGGATTAATTCTAAATCTGAAATTACTCTCAGATTTTGAGTTAATTGGGAGGGAAATACTCTTAAAATTTGAATCCAAATACGTGGTAATTAACTCCTTTGAAGGAGGGAATTAATGGGAGGGAGCCATAAGGGGGCCGGCGGCATAGAGGGAGAGGGGAGAGGGGTTTGTGGAGGAAAACTAAAATCAATTTCAGTTTTAAGTGAAATTGGAGGGAAAGTTATTTGAGATCAATTTCAGATTTCAAATGAGGAGGAGGGGCATTGAATGAGCATTCAATGGGAAACCCCATTAAGGGGTCGGCGGCATCAAGGAGGAGGAGGAGATTGGGGAGGAAGGGAGGGGGTTTCCAAATGCGTAATGATGACTAGGAAAGAAAAATTATTAAATCCAATTTGATTTAATTTAAAATTGGATTCAACATAAAGAACTTTCCTAATTTGGATTTCCCAATTTGGAAAGAATTTGAAATTTGAATTTCAAAATGATGGCTAGAGGAAAAGAGGGGTGGTGGGTGGATGGAAGGGGGTCGGTGGCAAGGTGGCCAGCCGGTGGTAGGATGGCAGCCGGCGGCTTGGGCTCTAAGGGACGGTGGCAAGGAGGTGGGTGTCGGGTTTTCCAAGCCAATGGGTGTGGTTGTCTTCTCTTGAGGTGAAGGGGGGGAGAGATTGGTGGAGAAGAAAAGGAAATCGAGAATCACAAACCTCACACTCTCCACTAGAACTCACAAAGAGATCTAAGAGCTTTCTCCTCAAGAACTCACAAAGAGATCTAGAGGAGTTTTGAAACTCACAAAGAGATCACCAAGATAACTTTTCAGTCATCAATAATCCTCCTCATACATAAGAAAATGACCATATATATAGGCCCAAAATGACAAATAAAACAAAAGACTAGAATGCCCCTTAGGCTACAATAGTGACCAACTACTCATAAGGGCACAAACAGAAAAACTGAAATAAAATGATTAATACATAAAATGCTAATACAAAAAATGCATCAAAAGTAAAGACTCTTCATCATGGCCATCGATCTCCTATGTCGCCTCTGATAAACGCATCGAAACCTCTTGTCGATGTCTCCATCATTATCGTCATCAGCTTAACACCTATATAATTATCTTTTCATCATCATAATTTATAATTTATACCTAACTCATAAATATGATTATCCTACTTATTCTCTCTATACTTCTCCATCAAATTTCTCAAAAAATATATAGCTTCCATAATAGATCTAACTAGTATGAATCTAAATTGATTTTGAGAAATATTAGTATCAATTCGTAACCTATACTCAATAACTCTCTCCCATAATTTTAATGTATGACACATTAACTTAATTCATCTATAATTCGCATACTCTGGTGCATCACCTTTATTCTTAAAAATAGAAATGACACCCATCTGGAATCTTCTTAGTCTTTAAAATAATATTAAAAATTTTCGTAAGAAATTCCTTCATCTCCTAAACATTTACACACCTCTATTGGAATACATCATGTCCAATAGCATTTTCACACTTCATTTTCTTTAAAGTCTCTCTAACTTCTATTTTACTAATATGAAAATAAAAATAAAATTTTCTATTTTTATTATTTTCTATTTTTATTTAGGGTTCTCTAAGGTCACTAAATTCAATCATATTCTCACAATCTTCATTGAAAAGCTTAAATAAAAATAAAATTTTCTTTTTTTATTTAGGGTTCTCTAAGGTCACTAATTCAATCGTATTCTCACAATCATCATTGAAAAGCTTATCGAAATAACTTGAATTTTATTAATAGAAAATAATAAAAAATCATTATCTTTCTTTCTCTCCTCCCTAGCCGCTGCTAATGCTCAAGCCCTAATCGTTCGCCTGTCACACACGTTTCTTTCTTGGTCCCTTTCCGTCTACCTCTCTCACATGGTTATAAGGAGATGAAATTCTTCGTCTTCGTCAATACCGAAGGAGACAAATCTCTTCATCTTTATTGACACCAGGTAATTGAATCAACAACAACAGATCAAGCCCTTTTGTGTACTTTGTCTTCCTGACTACCTCCCTTTGGCTCCCACGACTCCAAGTGATTGGAGCAGTTTGGGATATTACATCATAAGACATCATATAAGCATAAAATTAATTCAAAGAAAAAAATAGACCTATAATTCTATTTATTTGTTTGTTTCATAACAACTAAAATATAATATTTTCATGATATGGCATGGATCTCCTAAATCGTGAACCTGCCAATACCACTGCTACACTAATATATGCTCCCATGTGGATACCCTATGGAGTGTTAAAAAAGAACAAAATATAGAAGAGTGAAGATATAAATAGGAATTATTGGATATTATGAGAAAGTATTAAAGTAAAAACCAAATGACAGCCCACGTGAGACTAGAATTATATAGCACACTTTTAGGTAGTCCATGCAACCTATATTTGCTAATGTTTCTTTAGCATCATTTCATTTCGAAGCAATCACCTACCAGAATTTAAATTTCAAACTACAAAGATAACCATTAAATTTCATCATATATTGAATAAATTCATCATGCTTATTACTTAAATTTTTTTGTTCCTTGTGAACTAATAATTAATTGTAACCTTTATCTGTAGCACAACATATATCCTTCCAGATCATGATTTTTATTGAAGAGTACATAGAATGGGAGCTTATAAGGTGGATGTTAGCTAAAAAATAATACGATGACAGGAGACTGATATAATACTAGAACATAACTCATTGAAAGCTAAAATTAACCATCTTCTTATAAGCTTTATACAATTGCAAGTGCTAATTTTGTTCATTATAGCTATAATTCTTAATTACCTATCCATCTTATGCAGCTATTCACAAACTGTGAGATACAAGTCATGCAGAAAGGCTCTCTCTGTTTCTGATCCCAAATCTTTTGTTGACTCTTCTGACTGGAATCCTGTAAATGAAGCGATAAATATCTGTTGAACTGGAAGAATTTTCCAGGTTCTCTCTGATTATTCTCACCTCAAGATGTCTATCATTAGAATCATACTCTGCAAGAAGAGTCTCTCTTAGAGAATCTGACTGGGAAGTGTTCAAATGCTCGTCTTTGCTATCATCAATCTCCCCGTGATGTTGACGCCTTCTAGTGGTTTTAGTAGACATGGTACACGTCTATTTAGCTTTCCAATTATTCCTGAGGACAATAAGTATGTTGTATCACATATGTTATAAAAATCAATGGGATCAGTTCCAAGGAACAGAATAAAAGTGGGGAAAAAAAGGATTACATGTACATTGTCAATAAGGTAGTTTCAAATTAGATATTGCTGAGACGAGCTAATATCTTACTAAAGATTGTTTGCATGTAAATGCTGCTGAAAATTTAACAATTGCTGCTGTGCCTAGAGATTTCAGTAATATCCAATCTCAAATGATAAGTTCAAGCACTTAGTACATTCGTCCGAGCATATTCGGATGAGCTTGTCTTCAAAAATTTTAAATAAAGAGATGTTGCGCATTTTTTAAATAGTTACACTCTTCTCAATGCAAGATCAAGTTTAAATTCATTCTTTATTTTAGCCTATGCAGCATGCTAAGATCCCAAATTTAGGAATTTTGATGCATTTGTCAAAGCACATTTGGGTAAAATTATTTTGAAAGATTGGATACAACATACAAGCTTCAAGACATCCTTATATTTTTTATACATTAACATAATGCACTTTAATATCATTTGATGCACTCACATGAAGCACTTGAACATTTTTCGATGCATTGCTGGAAAAAATGACAAAAAAAATAAATGATTAGTTATCTCGGCCACATTTTTCATTGCTTTTTCCTGAAAAAATGACATATGAAATGAATGATCAGTTATCTTGGCTAATCATAGAAACAGAAGTGCAAGTTAAGGGTAATTCAAATAGAAATAGAGCTTAGAATAATGAGGAGACTAAATTGAAAGACCTATATGATATTGTGATATAGATTTCTCAAGTGGTAGACAAGTTGGCATCTATTAAAAAATCTTCTTCAAGCAGTGAACTGAGGTCTGAGCTTGGCCATGAAATAGACCAATATTTGGGAATATGAAGACTTCCAAGCAACCATTATTAAGTGATCAAACTACTGCTAAGAACTAGTTGCAAAAAAATTGGAAAGATATTGGATAGTATGGTTTGCCCTGACAACAAAAGAGTATACTTGCAACCATTGTTTTAGAGGGAGAAGCTGAGGGACGGTGGCAAGTGTAATACCATGAAAAATTGAGAATGATGCCCTTATCAACGACTAACTGAGGTTATTTTGTGAGAATGCTTAAAAACCGGTTTATTCCATAATTAGCTAGACTAGCACTACAGGATAAATTCTACAACATAACTCAAGGGTGAAAGCTAGTTATGCAATATAAGATAGAGTTCATCTCTTTATCTAGATCTGTTCATTATATCAGTACTCAAAAAGAGAAGTGCCACAGAATTTTAAGAGGTCGCAAATATCAGCTAAGGTTAGTTTTGGCTTCTTTTAATATCAAAGAATTTTTAGCTTTAATGGAAAGAGCTACAACAGATAAAATGAGTTGAGTTAATCAAAACAGAATTGAGAGCAACAATTTGGTTAAAAAAATATAAAGAAAGATAATTTCAATGGTAAAAAGTTCAAATTGGACAGTAAACATAAGAAAATTTAGTTTGACAAGCTAGCAAGTAAGCAGTGTGGAAAGAAACATTTTGGGCAATGACTTCTTAGTTTTAAAAAGTACTACAGGCGTGAAAAAGTTGGGCACTACAAAATGGACTATCATTTAAAAAATAAAATAGCAAGCCACAAGGGTATTAGGGACAAGCTCAACAAAAGAAACCCGTTTAAGATAAACTAGGTAAGACCCAATTTTATGGAAACTATTAACATTTGTTAAAGAAAAGATTTTGGCAAATAAGAACAATCAATGAGTGAAAGTAAGAGTTTTTATCATCACTAAGCAGTATGTTCAACCCCAGTTTCTTGCTAATTTTCTTCGAAAAGATTTACTGTTTGGGGACAAATTCATTGTCAAAAATAAAAACTTTTAAAAGAGATAGAAGTATGACAAATGTACTACCATGGAGTCTGAAATACCATCCATGCTACCATGAAGTGACAGAATATAAAGTTTTGAAAGAATTCACCTACAGTTATTCTTTCCTCCTTCCTTCTCGAAATAATTCTTACTAGTTTTTTTCATAGAAGATGCTTACTTTTCAATCGTCTCATTTTCTCTATATTCCATCCCTCAATCTAGTCATTATCTAGCAACCTTTGATTACTGGAAAAGAAGAAATGACTCCTAACGAACATCTACAGAATTACCTCAATCTGATTATTATCTGAAATTTGATTATTGGAAGATTGCAAGAGGTTATTATCAGACATGTAATAATAACTACCGTTTAAACTCAATAACAATTTTAAGGGTGGGAGCGAGGAGGGGAAAGAGTCTGAATAGGGCTTGAGCTCATGGCATGCGCATGAAAAAGTTCGGCTCACATTTAAAGCACTTTTATAAGTCCAATTCACAGCAGAGGAAGTGGGAATTAGGAAAACTGAAACAATACTATCTGGAATTCAACCAATCTGCTTAGTGGATAGAAAAAATCTATAAGATACAAAGAGAATTAAAAAAAAAATCCCTTCAAATCTAATAAAAAAGGTGTTTCTCATATTGAAACATGCATCAAGATTAGCATCTCTTCCCCATTCAAATTTAATTTTGACCGCGCCCAAACTTTCAGCCATTTACAAGATATCATCGTCTATGGTTAGTGCTGGAAGGTTTGTTTACATTGGTGAGAAGCTAGCATCAGAATCACAAGATAGTTTTCTGCGTTCTATAAGCACTATGAATTCTGCTTCAGCCAAGAAATGTCATTTTTTTATATTAAATAATTTGAAGCTTTATCTAAATCATTCATGGAGCAATAACAGCAACCCTATGAATCCAAACTCAATAAGTCCGATAAAACCCAAGCTGATTCACAGAAAAAAAAAATCATATTATCCATCCATACCATGCCAAAAGATCAAATCAACCCTAGAACACAATATAACAGATGAATCACAAATCCCATGCACCATTGAGAGTTTCGGAAAATACTTCTCTTTATTCTCATATAAATCTCAAAGTAACAGTTTTGGAAAATAAATCATGGCCACCAAATCTAGGCAAAATCAAGAAAAGGTTTATCCGTTTATGCAGGAATAAGCCCGAAAGCGCAGACAGATGGATTACCTGGGCAGCTTGGAAACAGATCAACGGAGGGGATCTCTAGTTAACGTAAATAACCTATATTAGACAAAGTGTTCTACTAGCACGCCCCGACAAGTGGTATGGTGAGATTTGATTGGTTACTGGGATTTGGCTTCACCGAAAACAAACATTTTCAGGAATTTTTTTTTTAAATGAGCATGTTATTAATTTAAATTAGGCATAGAATCAAAATATTAAAAAATAAAAAAAAATGAATTAGTCAAATCATTTGACACATTCTAAAGAATGCGTCGATTTAGTGCATTCAAAACTAGTCAAATCATTTGGTGATTTCTTTAAAATATGTCAAATGCAAATGATTTAACTAGTTATTTATAATGCGTCAAATCATTTGGTGTATTCAGTGCAGTCAGTCGAATTAAAATCTTAAATTATTGTCGCAATGCGTGAAATAATTTGGTGCATTCAACGCATTCAATAGAATGTGTCATTTTGTTTTGCTAGTTTGCTTCTTTTTTTTTTCTTTTTTTTTTTTTTTTTTTTTTTTTTTTTTTTTTTTTGATATTTTGCTTATATTCCTAATTTAAACTATATATCATGCTCCTATTTATTATATTCCGACATTACCATAGCTCAATCAGAATCCCTAAAGTAGACTAGGCAGATTTATAATTTATAGGAATTTATATAAAAAAAGGTAAATTTTATTTATCTCATAATAAAAAATTTTGAGAAATATATTCATAAATTTTCAATATATATATATATATATATATATATATATAATGAAAATAGTCTCATTTTTTACCATAGAATATTAATTTAAAATCCATAGTGATCAACATTAGTTAGAATAAGACGTAAATCAAATTACAGCAAGGTTTGGATCTATGTTCGCTACTTGTTTGAATTATATTTGAATAGTTTGTATTCTTAAAAGTTCAAATATGATTAGAAAAATTGATTGAAGAAAGTTTCAACAATGTTCAAGCATAATTCAAATACGAATCGATATATGTTCGAGGATTGGTTCAAATCATGATTGAATATGATTTACAGTTGACTCAATCATCGTATGATCATTGCTCGAAAATTGTTCGTATATAGATTATAAGATAGCATACTACAATCTTTAATGCGAAATGGATTAGTTTGAAAATCAATGTATATAAAAATTAATATTTACAACAAAAAAAGACCTATGAATCTATATTATTGTGAAATACATATAAACAAAAATGATCTTTGTAGAATTATATGCAATCAGGTATTACTTCTAGAAGATGTTTTAAAATCAGATATATGAGATGTTGCATTGCATAAACTTTACAATCGTCTATGTATAATAGACATAAGGCAATCGTCATACTACATATGCCCGAATCGCTTAATTTGCTTATTTTTTTTTTAAATATTAATTGAATTACTTACTAGTAAAGAAATCTTATATATGAAGGTCGTTTATCACATCCAAGGAGATTTAGAGCAAAAAAAGTTATTTTTTATTGATAAATAATCCTAATTGCTTAAGTATATTGAGATAAAAGAGATAACCACGCAATATCATAAACTTCATGAGAAGTGAGATCTCATTAATAACTAATAAACTTTGCTCAAATTCATTGAAAAATATATGCATAGACCCATGACTTCAAGAACTTCTTATTCATTATATTGGCATACAAAAGTGTGTGCATGGTCACCTATATTTCATACACTCTTCTGTGGTCAGACTAAAGAAGTAAAAGTAAAGAAAATAAAATTATAGACTCTTTTACATCATATCCTAATCAATATTGAGTCTCTAGTAGTCTTGAGTTATGTATATCTTATATGAAATATTAATGCTCACCGAAAAAAGAGATATCTATAATATTTAGTGGAAAAAGAAATAATTCAATCAATAATATTTGTCATCATCAAAATCACAGACTAGGGATCCTTGATTGCAATAATCTCTACTTTTTTTATGATATCAAATAATGTTAGTTGATAGGCAAGATCAATATTCTTTTTTCTTAAACTCCCACTCATTAGGTGATGGATTAAAAAGATAGGAGTTGCAAGTTTCAAAAAAATATTTTAATTTTTTTGAAAAGAAAATAATAAATAAAAAATAAAAAAATCAAGTAATACAAACACAAGATTTTATTAACATATAACAAAACAAACATTATATTTTCTCCCCCTTTTGACATCACCAAAAAGAGGAAGTGCAAACAAACAATAAGAAAGTAATATAAGAAAAACAATAAGAAAGCAGTACAAACACTAACTACAGGTAAGGCGAATCCTGATCAAGTGGTGGTAGTGGTGGTGGTTAAAAGAATTGATGGATGGAAGCAAATTGGTTGTCAATCGAGGAAAATCATTTGTCAGACCATCTCTTATCTTCCTCATGCTAATGTTGTTGGTGTTGAATATGGTAATCCAACCTAGTTTTTAACCGCTCGAGCTGCTGGATGATGTCATCATGAGGGGTACTTGGGGTAGGTAGGTGTAGGTGGTGGTATTATTGGTGGTGGAGATCCACCAGTAGGAGCATCTTTCCCTTACGGAAGGAGGCATCCTTATAGAAAATAGGAACATTATCAGGTGGAGCATGAAAGGTGAGCTGATATTTGGGTATAAGATATATCATATGATGTATCCTAAGGCAATATTTTATTTTCTACGGGTACATGGATGTCTAATGTGAGTCATGTTATGGATATAGTCTAGAATCATTTGGGCTTCATCAAATTAGGTATTTGACATGATTAGATAAGTGACTACATAAAGAAGTGGGATTATGTTTACTCTATTTATAGGTTTGGATATAATTGATGTTTTAAGGATGTGCTAGACGATATGGGCATTCTGAGTTAAAGTTTTGACTAGAGGATAGTGTTGGATTGAAGGCACTTTTCTAAGGAGTAGATTGACGAAAGTCCAGTCAAAATCATTTGAGAGCAGGGATTGAGGATGAGGCCCTTGGGTAGAAAGTCCTATATATTTTTCTAAATCAGCTTTGGTGGTCTCTATATTTTGATGACAAATAAAAGAAGTCATGGACTAGATTTCTAGATTTATCCTATGATTAGACAATAATTCATAAAGAAGTTTAGAATTGTAGGTAAAGGCTAGGATAAGGAAAAATTAGAGAGTCGTGGAGGCAAAGAGGTTCATCACCTCAAAGTTAAGGAGGCAGGTTAATTTAGCATTTGAGACGGAGTGATTTTGCCTTTATACTTGTTATAGGCTTCTTCATCCCTCGTGGAGAGGAAATAATCATCAAAATAATGAGAGGAGGGGGAGCTCCCCTAAGACATTCTGCCTCATTTGCTTCCACCAGCCATTGAGCAGGAATGTTTAGATAGTAGGAGTTTGAAAGAAGTTGAGTGAAGTGAACCATTTAAACCTTCCAATTTATAGATTTTCATGCCATCGTACAATATGATTGAGGTTCTTGTAGTACTATAAAGTTATTTAATTTGTCTGGATGACCTATAGAAAAAGAATTCAAATCATACAATACGATCAGGATATCATACTAGACAATCTTAAGTAATTGTATTCATCTTGAGGGGTCATCAGTACAGCATTTAATGAAACATATCATACAATATGAATTGATGTTTGAACAGCACAAAGTGTAATAATTATCGTACCATCCAAATTAAATTCATCCCAATCTAGTTTGCATGTGTATCGTACAGTACAAAGAAATGTATTATACCATACAAATGATAATAATTTCGTACCAAATGAATTGAATTCCTCAACTGTCTGTGACATGTGGATTATATAATATGAGTATATGTTTGTTCAGTAAGATGTAAATATTTCACTGATCTAATCTGGACAGTTGATTTAAATGAGGGGTTGTGATTTGTGCATATCGTACATTAGAAACATGGATCATATAATGTTATATTAATAATTTTTGAAAGATTGTGTAGCTCAGAGAGGTATATGTGTGATGATCGGGAAACATTTTAAACTATTTTTTTAAAATATCAAAATAATAACACATAAATAGTTATATGAGCAAACTCATACAATTTAAATACATATGAACGAATGCTTTCACATAATTTTTTTATTTATCTTGAATTAAATATGAATTTCTATAACACCTAAATTTATCTTCAAAGTACTAAAGGTGTCATCAACTATGGGTTTTATAAAGATGTCTGCCAATTGATCTCTTGTAGCTATATGATATAATTTTATATCTCCCTTGGGTACATGATCTCTTATGAAGTGATGCCTAATATAAATATGCCTTATGCAAGAGTGTTGAATTAGGTTCTTTGATATGCAAATTGCATTAGTATTGTCACACATAATTATAATATTTCCTACAGGTAGTACAAGATCTAAGAGTTGTTGCTTTAGCCATAAGACTTGATCACCATAGCTCCCTACTACTATATATTCTGTCTCAAATGTGGAGAGGGCTACTGAGATTTATTTTCTACTGGACCATGTAACTAAGGATTGTCTTATGAATTGGCATGTTTCAAAAAATGCTTTTTATATTTATCTTTTATCTTGTAAAATCAAAATTTGAATATCCTATTATTTTAAAATAAGTGCAGTGTATAGGATACCAAATTCTTAGGTTTGGAGTGCCTAATAGGTATCTAAGAATTCTCTTAATAACAGTTATATGAGATTCTTTTAAATCTTCTTGAAATCTAGCATAAAGTTAAACAGTAAACATAATATCTGGTCTGCTAATGTCACGACTCAACCCGACCAGAATGAATCCGATCGCATCGGGTCGTGACTGATGATTCCAGGATCTAGTTTTAGAATTTGCTTCAGACTTTCTTCCATATATCAAACATACAGAAACCACAGAGCTACTATAAACATCTAAATATACATAACAGTTCATCTTTATTCTTCATTCAGTCCTCAAAATAATCATGTACATTACAGTACATGGCTACAGATAGAAGGAACA